TAATGTCATTTGTAAGACCAACCAACTCAGAAAAATCATACGGTGCCATAAGAACATCTCTTGCCAAGACACATGAAGATTCAAAGACGATCTTCTGTTGGCGAGTGGACACCATATCACAGACCACCCAATATACAGTCAGCAGCTCTGCTTCCCTCTTTGAACTCACATTAGAGAAGGCCCGCCTGCTATGAAGAATAGTTGTCCCTATTTTATCACGCAAGATCCAACCAGCTCCATAGTTTACCTGACTATCCACCCATGAGACTCCTATATTGCATTTCAAATATTCTGGAGGAAGTTTAATCCAAGATTGAGGGTTCTGAGATGGGATCAATGGGGTATGGTTAGTATCAAGCTCTGGATTATTAATCTCGAACCAAGTACTCGCTTCCTCCTTCGCTTTTGTCAGAACAGAGACAGAGGAGAAATGTTTCTTTTCAAAACCAAACAATTCCTTGCCTTCCACAGGTGCAACAAGATCCATGGGAAAGCAATGATATTCCTATCCTTAGGAGCCTTCTTCGCTTCCCTCAAGAGATAATATAGATTTAGAAAGACCGAGTTTTGGGAGAAACCTGAAAGAGGCAACTTGATATAAGCTCTTTCCCACGTATCTCTAGCCATCAGACATATGAAGAGAAGGTGACCATTGTCTCTATATCTCCGTAGCAAACCCTGCACGTGAGATCTACATTAATTCCCCTGCTGCGAAGCCTGTCCATAACAGCCAGAGCACCTGAAAGAACCTTCCATAGAAAATGCTTCACTTTTGCCGGTGCTTTGATCTTCCATAACGAGCTCCAGAGGTTTTTCTCCACTAGAGGAAGAGGTGTTTGTTGAGGGCCATCCTCATCCGGAGAGAGACTCAAGGAATTTGTAGCCACTTCTAGATGAGTAACATCCATCTTTCGTAAAACCCCATTAATAACCATCCCTACGACTAGCATTTGGTCTTAGACGAAGAGTAATTTCAGCATCATGTGCTGTGAACGCTTGTCTCACCCTTCCAATATCCCATGAAGAAGAATTAGGAAGCAGGAGATCCGATATCTTCATGGTCAAGTCAATGACACTATCAGGTCTGTAATTAGGAATTCTTGGTATCGGGTCAATGATCCAGTTAACAGCCCACACATTTGGGCTCTCTCTGTTTCCAATGTCACGTACCAGAACTTTACACTCTACCATGTAAAATGTTTCGCCAAGCATAAGATGGACGAGCCCCCAGTTTACTCTATAGAAAATTCTCATTCTCAAAGTACTTACTTTTCAGAATTCTAGCAGCCAGTGAATCAGGATTGTTCCTGATCCTCCAAGTTTACTTATCCAGAAGTGACTGGTTAAATTTGGTGATGTTTTGAAAACTCAAGCCCCCTTCCTTCTTCTGTTTACAAAACTTCTTCCAAACAACCCACACTATTTTCCTTTTACCTTGGCCTCCTCTCCACCAGAATTCGATCATGGCACTTGTGAATGATTGTTGTTTACAGTCAACCTATTTTTCTAACAAACTAAATCGTAATTACTCTATCGGTTAAGACGATAATACAAACTGACAAATGTTAAACTATATAATAATTTATTTAACTGATGAGGTTTATGTTTAAGCATGGCTGTTGGTTTATACTATGAAAAATTTGATGGTTGGTTGTTTATGTTATGACAAAGGCGTATCCCTTATATACTAATACCATAAATACATTAATTTTTCATAATTGGTATATGCGATGGTATCTCTACTAATTAATCTTGTAAGAAAAAGATTGTTAGTTAAGTATTGTGAGCAGATACATCTAAATAAAATGGCATGTGTCAAAAAGTAGTTTATTAAAAGTATATTTTTAAAATAATAAAGAGATTGGTTTAGTCAACTGAAGGAAATATTATTTTAAGATTATGTAAAGAAATGACATAAATTACTGCATTCCATACTCCGTTTTTATTAGAAAAGTTATTACATACTCCATTAGCACACACAAAGCAAAACAATTGTGTCAACTTAAAACTCACAACTTATTAGTTGAAACATTTGTAGGACTCTTTTTTTTTTTTTTTGAGAAAGAACATTAGTAGGACTTTTTGAATATTTTTCTTAAACATTTGTACGCTTTTAAAAGAAGATATATACATATAGAGATTCTATTTATATTGCTCTGTATTTATATTTTATGTTTATAGTTAAGATTCTGTTTAGATTTTTTTTTTCCTTTTAAATTTGTAAAACGCAAAGCAGAAGTTTCAAAATTTGGAAAAATCATAATTTGGGAAACGGAAAAATGAAGAAAATTGATGAAAGAGAAAATATGAGAGAGAAATCTATTATATTAAAAGAGAAGTCACAACTTCTTTTCATGTGTGATATTTTAAAAAATGAACTATTATTAGGAAGTAATGTTTCACTTATATCTTAATAACATTTTACTTAACTTAATTACAATATCTTTTGATATCTTTTCTTTATTTGAAATAAGATAAATATTTTAAAGAGAATTATAACAAAATCTTCTAGAATCTTTTTTTAAAAATATATTAAATTTTTAAAAATGAATAGATATCAATTCATTGTAATTAGAAAAAGACACAAGTGAACTTTATTCACAAGTAAAGTCGAGTTAAATAAGAATATAATTTTTTTTATTAGTTTTGTGTTTCACTTAACGTTGGAATATGTCAATTATTTTTATTAGTTTGTGTTAAAAATGAATGACATAAATTTTAATGTTATATGATAGAAATATTTAAAGCTATGACTTATAATGGTATAAATTAAAAAAAAAATCATACATAAAATAAGTCATGAAATCAATATTCTTTATTTACAATGTAAAATGCATTTTTGAAAATTAATCAATTTAAACTGTTATTATCATTAAATATAATTAAAATGTGTATATAACTACCTTTTTATAATCAAAACGAAATTAAAATTTAATTACTAATTACATTTAATGACAATTAATAAATTATATGAACATGATATATTAATATATTTTTGTTTCATAAATATTAGATTTATATTAAAATAATATAATATGTTGTCAAAACGGGTTAACATAGTACACTATATAATATATGTATAAAAAATAACATATCTTAAATTTATACTAGATCTCGTCCCGCACAACCGTGCGGGTATTTGAATACTAAATATTTAAATTATATAATAAATTTATCAATAAATATAATTTGATGTTATATACTATTTAGATGTATAATAATGTTTATGCAGCTTATAATATTATTAATATAAAACTTATAAAATTTGAATTTTTGTAAGAATTTTTTAAAACATTATTATGTAACATCACAAATTTATATATTTTGTTTTATTTCTAAATTTGAAATATATGTAAAAATAAATTAAGTTGGACCTATATAATACATAAACAAATTTTTGGGATATTATTAAAAGTATTTTACATAATTTTAATTTCTGTTTATAAATCAAAAATGAATTAAAATTTTAATTTAATTTTATGATAATAATTTTTGAAAATATATCCTAGAAAGATTCTAAAAGATTTTGTTAGATTTTTTAAAAATAATATTTATTTGTATTTCAGATAAAAATTAAAGATACGAAAAGATATTATAATGATATTATGTACGATTTTATAAATTTTCTAAGATGGTTCAAACTACAAAATCACACATGAAATGAGTAATGACTTCTGTTTTAATATAATAAATATATATATACAATAATATATATTATCTAAAATTAATAAGCATAAATAAATGAACATTTGCTTGACAAAAAAAACAATAAATAAACATTTAAAGATATGAATATAATTAATAATATATACTAATAATGATGTAAACAAATATATATATATATATATATGTATATATATAAATGAAATTAAACACCCGCTCGGTTGAGCGGGTCAAAATCTAGTATAATTCTAAAATAACTTAGAAAACTGACAAAGAAATAATTGAAAAGAAAAACAAAGCAGCAAACAAAGGTGGCAAGCATGTATATATAGTTAAGAGATTGATTGTTAACTGCATTTGCAATTTCAGAGCTGTTGCTTCACCATTCTCGGCTGGATTAGCTTGATTCTTAATTTTCTCTTCTCTCTAAATTAATTTACACCAAAACCCTAATTTTTAGAAATCGTTTTAACAGAAGAACAGCTTATAAGACCAGTTGTCTTTTCCATGGCATCTTCTTCTTCTTCTCCTTCTTCTTGATTTTGGAAAGAGAACGTGGCAACGTGAAAAGAGGTACCTTTCAAATTCGAATACTCTAAGAAAAAATAAGGCACGTTCCTGCTCGCGATATTATTCCCTCACTTTAATTCATCGTTTGTTTATTTTCGACGTACAATAGTTGTTTTTTGTATGTTTGTTTGCAATCGTAATGTAAATCTGAAATCGCGTTTGGGTTTAGTGTTTGGCGTGTTACCACGAATTTAATGTTTATTCGTGAGAAATCATAGTTAATGTGGATTTAAAGATAACGTATATGAGAGGGTTTTGAGGTTTCATACGTTAATCTCTTCTGCTAAATCACAGGAACAAGTCCATCAACGTTTCAAAAAAACTTGTATAACGTATAATCTTTTCAATTTGATTCTATTTTTGGAGTGATTATTTGTCTCTCTTGTTCTTCATTTTTTATTTTTCTCTTTTAAATTGGATATGATTCTATTTTCTTCCTGTGTTACTATATTTGTCTCTTCGGTGTTCTGCCATTGATTTAGGCACTGGGCATATTTTAAGATTTATAGTCTCTTTTTGTGTTGATGAGCTAATAATTAACCTAATCAGTCATCAATTGAATTCGTATGAACCTAATCTTTACTCTTTATCTTTCTTGTTATCAATAGAAAATCATGTTCATATATAATTTGTTTTGTAATTTTTTGTTTCCAGGTTGAAAACAAAATCTTATTCTTCTCACGAAATTCTTCTGGGAGTCTTTGAAGTCTTTATAATTCAGCCTGATTCATCTTGTTTTATATATAAACAATTATATATAAGCTAAGATGGATCAGATGTCTTCTGATAACATCAATGGACTCATTTTAGCAGTCTCTTCAAGTATTTTTATTGGATCTAGCTTCATCATCAAGAAAAAGGGTCTCAAGAAGGCCGGTGCAAGCGGTGTCCGAGCAGGTTTCTTTTTCTTTCTTTTTTTTCTGAAATCATTCACCTCCTTTATGCCCAAGAACTAAGACTTTTCATTTTGCAAGATTAGTTTAATTAATATTTATTGCTGATTTTTGTTGATCATCAACGATCAGGTGAAGGAGGGCACGGTTACTTATCTGAACCATGGTGGTGGGCTGGAATGATAACTAGTAAGTCTTAAAAAATGCTGCAAAAGCGTTCTTGAAAATATTTTTGAATTGAAATGAGAGATAATAACAGTTATGTGTTTTTGGTTCTCTTGATTTAGTGATTGTTGGTGAAATAGCCAATTTTGCAGCCTATGCATTTGCACCAGCTATTCTAGTAACACCACTGGGAGCTCTAAGTATTATCTTCAGGTATTCGTATAACTGTTGAAAACCAACACTCTAGTATCATCAAGAAGATAATATAAACTATGGTTTTCTTGAAAAACAAAAATACACTTGTTGTATGCAGCGCAGTGCTCGCGCATTTCATTTTGAAAGAGAAACTGCATATATTTGGAGTGCTAGGTTGTGTTCTCTGTGTTGTTGGGTCTACAACAATAGTCTTACACGCCCCACACGAGCAGGAAATAGAATCAGTCAAGCAAGTTTGGAAGCTTGCTATTGAACCAGGTATATATATGTATAATGATTTATTCTTCCACAGCTAGCCATCATGAACACAAGTCTTGATATGCAACGCTACTTTACTGTTTGATCAGGTTTTCTTGTGTACTCTGCTGTGATTTTGATTGTGGTGCTTGTACTGATATTCTACTACGAACCGCGCTATGGGAAGACTCATTTGATTGTATATGTTGGAATCTGCTCCTTAATGGGTTCTCTCACTGTAAGTTTTTCATATTTTCTTCTTCATTTCTCCCTCTCTCTGTTAGGTAGTTGTCTTAAGCTTTGTCTCTTGTGCTGTCAGGTTATGTGTGTTAAAGCTGTGGCCATTGCCATAAAGCTGACATTCTCAGGGATGAATCAGTTCAAATACTTCCACGCTTGGATTTTCATTCTAGTAGTCACGATTTGTTGCCTTTTGCAAATCAATTACTTGAACAAGGCACTGGATACATTCAACACAGCGGTCATATCTCCGGTTTACTACGTCATGTTCACAACTTTCACCATTATAGCTAGTATGATCATGTTCAAGGTTAAACTCTCTAAACCCTTTTCTTGAACATCTTCTTGACCTCTCAACACTTCTCTCTACGCGGTTTACAGGATTGGGCATCTCAAAGCGGATTAAAGATTGCGACAGAACTGTGTGGATTTGTGACGATATTGTCGGGAACGTTTCTGCTTCATAAGACGAAAGATATGGGAAACAGTGCAAGTGGTCGTGGAGCTGTCACAATGCCTAGAGACACTCCTGTTTTCACCAATTCAGGATCTGGTCGGAGCTCTAGCTCGGATAAAATACCCTCGTGAGAGTTTTTCTTTTTATCATCCAACGGTCTACATTCTTCCCTGTACGTAAACACAAGCACCTGAGAAAGAAAACAAAGCTGCAAGGCACAAGGATGTGATTGTTGGTATGGTGATGATTTTGTTAGGAATGTTTGACTGATTGTTTTTTTATTATGATAATGTAATTTTACGACTAAAACAAAAGAAGAATTAAGAACAAAAATATTTATAAGGTCAAAGATCACTTGGAGAAACCAATGTCTTGACATAACATCGGGAAACAAACTTAGTCAAACCGGGAATGGTCAAGAGTATCTCCTTCTCAAAACTCCCCCTCATCACCCAAACATCTGAATTTGCTCATTTTCCAGAACACACCTCTCAAATCTCCAAGCGTCAATGTAAAACATCCTCTCTTGCAACATTCTGGTCCAAGAAGCTCCTTGAACACTTTTCTTGACATGTCTTCTATATATGATGGTCGATAATAATGATGATGAGTGAGTGGCTGTCCAATTAAGAGTTCCAGAGATGTAGATATGCCCGATCTTGATAACAAGAACACATTGCTGCTTTATTCTCGATGAGTTGCTTTTGTCTCGATGAGTAAAACATTGCGTCTGTATTCAATTGGTGCCTTGGTTGCAACAGTGCAACTATTTGATACTGCAAATCAAGTAGTACAAGAGGAAATAGGATAGGATAGTAAAGACGCAATAGAAGATTTAGTATGTTTTCTAGCCCATAAGTAATAGAAGATAATGAATTAACAGCTAAAAACTATATATGAATTGAAATCTTCCTAACCATGTTTCATGGGATGTTGTTACTTCCTTGTGAAGCAAACAAGAGCGAACTGTTTAGCAAAAAAAACAAGAGCGAACTGGATGACACAGTAGAAAGAATACGACAAAGAAAAGTTGATAACACCAATATCCAAGACACACGGGATCAGTCTCAATATCATCATACACACGAACACAGAGTGTCAAGTGTAAAGTTAGCCAAACAATATAGTAACAAACTAGGATAAGATTTGTGTATGGTGAATGTATGTAATTAAAATATAAAATTATCTATATGTAGGATCAGAAACAATTGTAACTGTAGATCAGAGCTTAGAATTTAATGAATCTGATTTCATATATCTTTTCACTTTTCAATGTTTGAGTGATGGAAAATAAACGGAGTGTCACTCGGCTTGATTGGTAGAGTATTAGCAAGTTCCCTAATGATTTCTTAAGAAACTGTTGGTAAAATATTTACATTTAAAATATATAAAGTTTCAAAACTAATTTAATATAATTTATTTATTTGTGTAATAATATTAGAAAAAATTATATTTTTTACAAATTATATTTATTTTTTAAAAAAATATTTTTTATAAAAAGTTAGGTTAAATTTTAAATTATTTTTTAAAACAATATTTTAAGTTTTTCAAATACAAATAAAAAATTGAAAATTAATTATGGTCATGATTTAACATAACCGTAATGATTTGAAAAATTAAAAAATTTAAAAATTAACAAATTTAAAAATTAACTCAGTTTTATATTATGATTTAACAATTTAAAAATTAATTATGGTTATGAGAAGTTTACGTTCATGTGTCAATCCTATTTATTTTCAATTTTTTCTCTTGTTGTGTTTTGTTTATTTTGGTTATTACTCGATATAAATATTTATTTTGAAGTTTATTCTCATTTTGTTTGTTTGTTTTGACCAGAGATTTAGAAAATACTTAAGATTTAAAATAATTAAAGACACTTATGTTAAGATCTGCATTTTATGCACAATAAGTATTTTTATTTTTTATTTTAAAATAATAAATATATATATTAAATAACTAAGAAATTATTTACTATTATGTAATAAATTGGCATATGCATATAAATTTAACTATCACTCTTGTTTATTCGCAATTAGGGTAAATAAATCAAAATAATCAATCTTATATATTGTATATGATATATAATTAAATTTAAATAATATAAACATAGTAATATATCGCACTTTTAATATGGATATTTATTAAATGAGGTTTCTACTCATATGATTTTATGATTAAATGCATATTTGTGTAACAAAACTTTACACCAACGAATGTTTTTTAATGTGAGATGTTTAGTAATTTCAATAATTTATAATCATTTTCAAAAAACAATGACATATTTCAAAATTAAAATATTAAATTTTCAATATATGTTCAATGCAAATATCAAAATATAAGTATGTATTTTCATACGATGTATAGTTTAATTTAAACGATATAAAATATATATAAACTAAATTATTTGTTCATATGGTCTTATAATCATTATATTTTAATATATAAAAAATTAAAACATTGATCCTAAAAGTTTATGTGAGCATTTTAACATTTTTAGTAATTTATACTCATTTTGAAAAATTTGAAATACGACATACACAAAAAAATCTAGATTGTTATTATATGATTAATGTAATTGTGTAATTTATTTTAATAATAAAGAAATAAACGAAATGAGAAAAAGTATACAGATTGTTATCAAATCTTTTTTTAAAATCATTAATTCTCATATATATAATTTAATCACATTAGGTAATGCTATTTAAGGAAAGCATGCGAAACAATAAATATTTGATATATGCGACCAACTATAGCCTACGAAATATTATATTGCTAGAGAGTATAATTTTTAGACTATACATTATATTACATTCTCTAGAATCCTTCTAAATTGAAATAGAAAACAAAGAATTATGCCACATAAGATCGGAGTTATTTTTAATTATTACAAATTTAAAGTTACAACTTTTTAAAATGATTCTCTTTTTATATATAGGGAATATAAAATTCTGAGCTCCAACATTTGATCCATGAGCTAAATATTTCCACGAGAGCGAACCAGACCGTGTTGATTGTCTACATCTTAGCTACAAACTAGTTAATACTAACAAGTGACCCCAACATGAACATCAATCTTAACGAATATGGAGGACTCTTGAGTTTTTTTGGTTACAAGGCAACATATCAAATTACGTACATAAGTTTCTGTCTTAAAAATAAAACTGATCGCAACTAGAATGTTTGAACCGAGTTTAGTGATAACAAATAAATAATCGATGAAAACTCATCGCCGGGTTATTTTGAAGGTGTGAACGAGTAGGTAAAAATAAAAAATGTTTTATTAATAGTCGGAAGAGTGTCGACAAAAAAAAATAGTCAGAAAAGAGAGTATAAAAAGGATTACGGTGTTTGGAAGCTAACCGGAGTTATACAGACCGATCTAAGAGCAACAAGATGAGTGGAAACCCTAATTTAGCTGCCGTATACTCGGTCTATTTTTGTATTCCCGTTTGGTCCTTTGCTTTTATAGGTCGTTGTACGAATAATCTTAATGGGTCGTGTCTTTCGTCTCGTGGACTTTTAGGCGAGCCGGTTCTTCTTACTTGGCACGGACTGATAACGTGTGTTCGACTCTGAATTCCTTATCGTCTTGCGGACACGAACCTTCCTCATCTATTCGGATTAAGTGATGGGCCGTAGCATTTATTCGAAGGGCCCTGAGGAGAGGATGAAATCCATCTCTTACATAGAAGCACCACTGATCGTTTCATTACCCTCATGGATTCTCTCTTAGGTAGGCAGCTGTTCGCAATATGTTTAAAATCTAAAACCACTATGTATTGAATTTTTCAGCATGGGAAGCAAAAACGGCATCGTTTCGTAGTGTTGTGCCATGCCCATGTTTTTTTTTTTTACTGAGCCATGCCAAGTTGATATGAGATAATGAGAGTCGTTACATGTTACATATGAAATTATTTACTACGTTAAACAAAAAGAGTTATGTAAACAAATTCTGATTAGGACAACATGAAGAAACTAGAAAAAAATTTGAGCATCTGAAACCTCTAAAATAACTAAAAGGAAAATCGTGTCAATTTATGATTATATTGATTTATGATCTATGATTTTTAATTAGGACTTCAGTGAGTAGTATTAGAATTTTAGTTATTAATTCCTTAATAAAAACAAATTAATTGACCAAATCAATTCAGTTAGACAAATAAAGAAGTCATGGATTTTTCAAGATTGTTTTGACTACAATATCTTCTTATAAGATGTATTCAAATCTTCATTTTTTTACTAACTATAGTTACAATTAAGAAAACAAAATCAAATTGATGTAATAAAACTTAGAAAGATTTGTTATTTAATTATTTAGAATCTTTGATTTTTACAATAATGTTAAAGAGATAAGAAAGAAAAAGTTATTCCTTAATTTAAACCACAATGGCGTAAATGTTACAATTCACTTATCGCATTAAAATATACTACTATTCACGCCTTTAATTTTTTTTTTTGAATAATCGCTTTTGATATTTTAAAGTAATATCATAGTTTGGTGCGTCTCCAATCTACCCCGCAACTTGCGGCAACATTTTATACAAGTCAAAAAAAGGATAGACACGTGTACGATTCTGATTGATCCAACACTCATGAACTTGAAATCTTATTGGTTGGTACACATCACCCGTTTGTCCCCGAATACTATTATCACCCCTAAACTTTAGCAGTAATCACACAAATGCCATTTTAATATTTTTATCTAGAAATTAATTAAATAAGGAAATCTAACTGGAGAGAAGACCAAAAGTATCAGATCAAAAAGTGCATCTATCATAAGTACGGTCGATCTTCCCCATTCATTTAGCGGGACCCACATCACTAAAAGAATGAAATTACAGCAGTGCCATTCGATCACACCGTCAATCTTGGTTTCCACGATAACTTCCGTGGGCCGCGCGGTAGCTGATTTTGACATCAGTATGCGTTAAAGGAAAGGTGGTTTAAAATGATTCATTTTAGTGTCATCCCCTTCCCCACTTCCAACCAAAACATAATCAAAATATTTTATTAATTAAATATTTTTTTTTTTTACCTTTCTCGAAAACAAAGCCGTGTTGATATTTGGAGAAGAAAAGAGATTAAAAGCTTCATATGTTTCTCCTTCTCAACATATTTTCTCTCTCCTAAAACCAACAAAAAAAAAACACAACGAAAATTTTAAAAATGGAATCGTTCATGGATGAACTTTTGAACTTCTCTGTACCGGAAGATGAAGGAGCGGTGGCTCTTCTCTCGCCGAAGAATATTGCTCGCCGGAAAACTGGATTACGGCAGACGGAATCCTTTGGTTTATTAAATCCCGACGACGACCTTGTAAGTTCCCTTCACAAAAAAAAAAAATCTCGGCCGTTATGTTACGTACATGTTCGTGGGGGGTGAGAAACGTTCGCCGGTGACTCGGCCGAGTTGACTCGCCGACGGAGAGGTTAAACCGAGTCACGGCGTTTGGGTTGTTGACTCAGTCGGTTTCGCCTTTTATTTATTATTATTCTGTTTCCCTATTGGTTAAGTGAACGTCATGTGTGGACGTTTCTTTTTGGCCGGTGTTGTAAAAGACGAGAATACCCTTGGCTTTTTTAAAACCGATGCGCTCTGGTTGTAAAGTTTGTTGGAGGGTGTTTTTGGGAATATACGTTTTAGGGGAGTCATTGTTTCGTGAGCTGGCACATTTAAAAATTTTCAACCATTTTCGAACTTTGATAGCATACCTTTTTTGAAAATGTTTTTTTTTATTATTATTATTCGGTGCATCTCAATTATTTTTATTTCGATAGTTGTAAATGACGTAAGTACCCTTTCATGTGCAGGGAGAGGTTGAGGAAGAATTGGAATGGATATCAAACAAAGATGCGTTCCCTGTCATCGAAACATTCGTCGATGTATTACCGTCTGAACATTTCGCTGTCTCGTCTCTGGAGCGAGAAGCTGGTGAAGGAAAACAGCTGAGTCCTGTCTCAGTACTTGAGACGAGTAGTCACAACACCTCAATAACCACTACAACGACGACGACCACCTCCAACAACAGTAGCGGAAGTAACGGAACCACCCCGACGATGATTAGTTGCTGTGCTGGGTTTAACGCTCCTGTTAAGACAAGAAGCAAGCGTAGGAGGAGGGACGATTTGAGAATTTTGTGGACAGGGAACTATGAGCAAGGAGTAGGAGGTATACATAAGAGGAAGATGACGGCGGTTGCGGCGGCGGGGATGGGGAGGAAGTGTCAGCACTGTGGAGCGGATAAGACGCCGCAGTGGAGGGCGGGACCATCGGGACCGAAGACGCTGTGTAATGCGTGTGGCGTGAGGTACAAGTCAGGGAGGCTTGTTCCCGAGTATCGCCCGGCTAATAGTCCGACTTTTTCGCCCGAGTTACATTCGAATTCTCACAGGAAGATTGTAGAGATGAGGAAGCAGGTTGTGTCCGGTGATGGTGGTGGTGGTCGGAAAGATTGTGGTTAGAAAGAAACTTGTTAGGATAATTTTCCCGTTCTTGAGTTTGTTTTTAGGGTTTTGCAGTTGAAATTTAGTTTGTTTTTATTTTTTTTTACCTTTCTTATTTGTGAAATTAGGGGTAATTATTTGATTAGGAGATACTATGGTCAGTCAATGGAAGATTACTTTCTCATTTTGCTGTTTATCTGGTGGTAAAAATAGAAGAAAATATAGAGTAAGTTAATGTTGGATAATTTCATAAATTGACCCTTTTCAACGTCTTTTTGGTCCCAACCAAAGATTATATTTTCTATGAGAGGTATTGGAAATGCGAGGCAATTTTAGGAATTTTGTGTATGTCTTGATTGATTCATTGATTCTACTTTTGTCTTTAACTACTGACAGATTCTCTAAAATAACGTACAGATATGTTATTGAATAAGTATGTAATATGATATTTACTACTCGTATTTTTGTATTGAATAAGATTATGAAGGGTTATAAGGTCCAAATCTGATTTTATTTGTATTTTATCACATATAGAAATTCAGATTATATACGGGTGGGAAGAAACGAACGAATTATCAACCACTTATCAACTAACAACCAAACCTATTAAAGTTTGAGCAATTTTGCATTAAGCAAAACAATAAGAAACTATTTTTGTTTCAGTTTCAAGTATGTCTATTAAGTTTGATTTGCTTAGAGTCAGAAAGAACATCGTCAATTACATAGTGCATATCGTCCCTTGTAATACAAGATTAAGTTACTTTAGATAATTAATATAATTAATTAACATCACCATCTCCAAATTTAAGCAAAAATAAATCATCATCTCTAGAGACAAAACCTGATGATGTAACCATTTCCTAATTTGAATAATTTAATTTGATAATGAGGGAATTAAAAAAGGATTAGACAAGTAACGTATGATTGAGGAGTCAGCATGTGTGTGGAGTAGTAGTCACATGGGAGTTGATACTTAGCTAATATCAGTGCACATGCCTTTACTCTTCTTCCTCCTAATTTCACCAACTCCATTGTCTCCATTCCACGCCATGAATTATACCATCATTTTTTCTATAATATTTTTTTTTTTTTGAGAAAGGGTTTCATCTTTTTCCCTGAAATATCCAAATAAAAAATACGTATCTACCATTATTTATTTCAATCTATATATGATACTGTTTTAATATATATATATAATTATAATTATTTTCTTACAAAACAACAACTCTTTAATATTAGTATTCAAAGAAGCATTCTATGTGGTTGTGTAGATCTAATAAAAATATGGTGATTATCTTCTAAGCTATCTAGATAAATAATAAATAATAAATAAAATATAATAATTTAGATATAATACTATAGAATCTTATAAATATAGGATAATATAAATTATATTATTCCAAAATAATGATACATAATATGAAACATTACATAAATTTAATATATTGTTATCATTTATAAACGCTTAAGCCTTTTATCTAATAATTTGGTGTCTGAATGTAAAAAAAAACTAATAGTTTAGGTGTCTGTCAATGTTTTTAAATCCGATCCAGACACTGAACAAAACACCTTATTAAATCCTCGGGTTACTGGGTTGACCGCACGCGAACCACAGATTAATACATTAACTAATTTTATATATAATTATATATTAACTATTAAAAATATAGGAAAAATTTCACAATTCTTAAAATATATAAAATATTTTATTTTTTACTTATAAAAATATATAAAAATAAATTAAATTATTTAACAATTTTTTTTTGTAAAAAAGTTAGCAGTGAAGCATATAATAAAGCATAATAATACTTAAATCTCATAAGTTTTACATATCTATCATTGTTCACTATATTTTCTTTAAAAGGCATAATGAAACGTTCCTCCAATTCTAAATATCAAAATAAATTGTTTGGTCAATATTATATATGATTTTGTAAAATTAAATAAGATCAATGAATTTGATTCACTAAAAACATTATTTATTTAGAAATATGTAAAATAAATAAAAAATATTTATTTATTTATTTTTACATATTTCTAAATAAATAATGTTTTTTGTGAATCAAATAAAAACATCAAGTTCAAAATAAATAAAATAATAAATAAATATAAAACAAATAAATAAATAAATCATGAAACTAAAAAAAATAAATAAATAAAAACATAAAAGCATGTGATTCATGAAAGAATAAAAATGAAATTTATATACAGAAAACCTTTATAAATTAATAATGTTAGGACTTTGAAATTTTATTAATTTATAGAGATATTAATTTACAAAAGTTTCCTTATTTAGATTTTTTTATTTTAAGATAAGAAAATTATTTGATTTTAATGTATAGACATTAATATTCATTTTTTAAAATTTGAAATTTATAATAAATTTTTTATATTATTTGGTATGTAATATATATTTCATAAAATTTAAATGTGATTTTAGATATATATTACTAAATCTAATCAAAAATATATTATGTGTTAAGAAAATGTAAAGATAATTCCAATGTGAGTATAAAACAAACAATATAATGATATGTTCTTACTTATATAAAATATTTATATATCAAAATTATTAATTTATAATTTTAATGGGATCATGTATTTACATAAAGTTTTCTGAAAATTTATTATCTTATTATTTTATCGATTTGTGTCAAATTTTCAACCAGTCCAAGTTGGAACTGATGAAATTTATTAATTTATAGAGATTATTAATTTATCGAGTATTAATTTATAGAGGTTCTATTGTAATAAATAGAATTTAGAAGGTTAAAAAATGTTATTCACTATATACGGAACCAGAAAAAGTTCTAAAAAAAGTTGAAGGAGATATAAAACATTTGTGATAGCACGAAAAAATATTTTTATGAGAAAACTAAAAAATTAAAAGTTAAAAACCTAACTTCTTATTTTTGGTATACAAAATAAATTTTATAAATTAGTTAAGAACCTAAGAAACTAAATAAAAATAATTTGATGGTTCACCCGATAGTCGAGTCACTAGGCTTAAAAGTTTTTAGCGAGTTTTATCAGAATTTTTTATTAGTGGATATTGCTTAACATCCAAACCGGATTACTTACTGGATCAGTGTGTTTAGTGGTCCGGCCGCGGATCCGAATCGGGCGTGAAAACTCTGATGTCTGGTGATAGGCATTGTCACTATATTATGGGTTGGGGATGGTCACACCCCATTTTCTTCTATCTAAGCCGCCTTGGCCGAACTGGCAGTCGTATGTGGACCTTAACAAAAACGATGGGTCAACCTAGTATATAGTTCTTTCTTTTTTTTTGAGAACTAACCTAGTACCCGTTTGGTATTTTTGTACCGAGGAAATGATCTGCTTACATATTATCCATTTTACTATGTAAACAAAAAGACACTTTACACCAAAAAAAAACAAAAAAACACTTAATCTTGTCATCAATTCCTAAATATTATTTACCAAGGGATTGTTTATGTATCTTCACCGTAATCGTTCTAGAAAATGATGATAGTATATACAAAACTATAGAATAGATCTTTTCTCAAATTTTTTTTGAATAAGATAGTTTAACATATCTATAACACCAAGTCAATTACATCAATTCAGATATAACATATTATGTTATATTCATTACTATGATTAAAAAAAATAAATTCTAGATATAATTTACTATAAACTTACATTCGAAATAGGTTAATAAAAAACTAAAATATTCACTAAAATATTTTTTATATATATATTAAATGTTTAATGAGAATTCACCAATATAGTAAAATTGTAAAAAAGTATTTCATTCTTAAAATTCTATTTATAATTAATTTTTATCTACTGTCCATATTCCCGATTCTGTAAAATACAATATACACATTATACTATAATTCTTGTTTAAGACATAACAATAAACAAATATTTAACATTTTTAATATCTTTTCTGAAAATAATTTTTTCTAGAAATTTCCGTGTGCTTCATATTTTCAAACTTTAATCTATTTTTACAAAAAAATAATCAAAGACAGAAATTTTATTACCATATTTGTTATAAAGCATATAATATGTTTTACTATGAATTTTTTCTTTTTAGATTCATCCCCTAGAGTAGATCTGTAAATTCACCAAAGAATAGTAATTTGTTATTTCTTATTCCATATCTTTAAAAAATAATAATAAGAAATTACTAAGTTATATTATCTTTTTTTTTAAATGATAAAAATAAATAAAAATATTGCAATAGTAACAAGAAAAATAATCATTTAAAAATATTTTTAACACCATTAACAAAACACTAAATCTTAAATTCTAAACCTTCAATCCTAAACTTGGGTAAACCCTAAATAATAACCACTAATCATAAACTCCTTTGAATAAATCTTAAATCTTTGGATAAATCCTAAATCCTTGAAAAATCTTAAACCCGAAATCTTAAATCCTAATTGATAAACACTGAACATTAAATCTTAAAACACTAAATCTTTAATCATAAACCCTAAATCCAAAGATAAATCCTAAACCCTAAGATTTATGGTTTATCCAAGACTTTAATGTTTAGAATTTAATGTTTAGTGTTTCTCATTTAAGGTTTACCAATTATTTTTTTTAACATTGGTTAATTATGCATTACAAACTATATGAGAAATATTACATAGAAGACTAGGGCCGGGCCGCGCTTCGCGCGGCGAGTGGATTCATTAAGTATTCAATATATTTTTTTTTTTTTTCAAAAAATGGAGTTATATATTTTATATATTTCATTACTTATGTGAAATTGCAAGTGAATACATTAAGTATTCAACATGATTTTTTATTTCAAAAATGCAATTATATATTTTGTATAGTTCATTACTTATGTGAAATTGCTTTATATATAATTTCTGTCAATTGAATATCAAAATTGTTGCAGTAAATAAACCGTATGATAGATAAATTGTCTTCTGCTTTTATAAAATAAGTAGCATTTATTTTCTCGTTATAAGAAACTACGAAATCACAAAAGAATAAAATGGTAAACAAAGCGAATCATATTTTGATTAGATGAAAGAGTCGAACAAAAATATTTAAAAAACACAAAATACTACACTATAACAATTTATTATTTACTTATTGTTTAAAATAATTTTGATGCAAGGTTCATTTGAAAAATACTTATGAATGGATCCATATTTGTTTATGTTCCATGATGTATAATTAATTATAAGGCTAACATTATTTAATTATATTATTTAAAAATAATAGTTGAACCTTTGGATTATAATAACCCGCATCAAAATTGAGATTAAGATAATTAATTAATTTTAACTGTAAATTTCAACATTTTCATGGCATCACAAATGTGTTAACGCATCCATCCACCAAAAAACTATTAGAGTAGATAAGTCCAAAGCATCCTTCCTCACTGCTTTTTCTCCTCCGCAAAAAATTTGCGGTTAAGTGGTAGTTCTAGTTTTGTTCTAATGTTTATTTCATAATTTAAATATTACTTGATGTGAAGATAAACAATTTATTAATATAAAATTA